TTCATTGGGTATAAGAACAGGCAGAAAGTCCTTTTATGCATTGTATCAGGTTCAGATAAAGTGCCAGTGTTCAAACAAGTCACAACAAAATGTTAGAGTGTGACTTCAATTCTTGTTACACTCAAATGTTTCTTTACTTAGAATATTTCTATAAGGAGTTGTTACATTTGAAATAATTATTAGAAAATACTCATCAGAAATACAAATAGATGTAAAATCATTTTATGATGACCTATCATCACTGTTAGTTTGTATATTTACTAAATATTTTGGTGTCAATATACAAAAATGACACTGCTTTTATGGTGACATTTTATTTGTGCTGAAATGTGATTTTATTTGTATGTTAATAAAGTTGCCTTGAGATCAGAAGTCATAGTGAGCCATAAGTGGGAGTCAGGCAGTGGTAGCACATGCCCTAAATCCTATCACATGGCAGGCAGAGTCTCTGTGGTCAAGGATACCTCCAAAGCAAGGTGACCTGATTTTTTAATCCCAGTAACAACCATAGAGACCTGGAGGTCTGTATAGATACAGGAAATCATGTAGTTGGGTTTAGAGCCAATGAGAAGGCAGAACAGAAAGGCAATAAAAAGACAGGACACAGGAAGAAGGTCTCTCTCTCTCTCAGGGGAAGGACAGCCGTGAAAAAAAAATGGTTTTAGCTCTTGCCTACTGCTGTGATCTCTGGGCTTTTAAATCTGCATTTGGCTCTGTGTTCCTTATTTAATAAGACCATGTAGAATTTCATCTACATGCTTGTTTCAAAAAGCATTTTATTACATGAGGCTGGAGACATGGCCTAGCAGTTAAGAGAACTTCTAATCATGCATGAGATCAAAGTAGGATTTCTAGCAACCACATGGCATAATAATCATCTGTAATTCTAGCTCAGGTAGATGTATCACATTCTTCTGGCCTCCATAGACACTAGGCCACATTTGCAATATGCATAAATACATTCAGGAAAAAACATCCATACACAGAACAAAAAATATGAAACTTTTTAAAGCATATTATTATGTGTGTATATATATATATATGTGTGTGTGTGTGTGTGTGTGTGTGTGTGTGTGTAATCCAGCATGCTTGTGCAGTTCAGAGGACAACTTTAGGGAGTCAGTTTTTATTCTCTACTATAAAGTCACAGGTATTGAATCTAGATTCTGAGGGCTGGTAGCAAGTGCCTTTACCAACTGAATCATTTAAATCTCCCTGAAGTGTCTTTAAGGGTATGTTTCTTATAGTTCCATCGTGGAAAAATCTATAACTTCTATTTTATGCAACCACTTAAATGCTTCACTCCATTTAAGGTTTGGAGTTTTTGTTTTCACTCAAGCCATCATATCATCTCTTAATTCTGATATTTGGTAATATTTCTTTCACTTGTTCATTATGTAGGGTGAGTAGTGATCCTTGTGACTTCAATAAAAAAATCTCTTCTTCAAGGCTGGAGAGATGGTCATCAGTTAGAGTTCAGCCACCAATACCCACATGACCACTCACAATGATTTTTAACTCAGTGCAAGGAGATCCAGCACCCTTTTCTGGCCTCCCAGGCCACTGAATGAATGTGCTACATAGAGATACATGTGAGCAAAACAACAATAGTCATAAAATAAAATAATATAAAAATATGATTCTCCCTCTAACTCTAGAACATGAAATAATTAAATACAAGCCTGTGATTGATACTAGCACACCCATGATCAATTATTTCCAACTAAAAAGAAGAATAAGATCTTTTTATTGGGTTTTCCCTTAGATTTCCTTTATGCTGTATCCATTTCTATAGGGTCACATGCATTTTATCTCAACCTTGATATAGTGGACAGCAGAAAAGTGGGGAGGCCACAGGTATTACACAGTTAAGCAAACCCTTATTTCTTGGCTGAGAATGCATGATCTTGCTGTGCACCATCAACTCTGCATTCATCATTATATGTTTACTACTAAGAAGATGTTCAAGGAGTCCAATCAGTGAGAGAGAGGAAGGATTATATGAGCAAGAAATATTGAGACCATGATTGTAAAAAGCACAGGGACAAATAGCCAAACTAGTGGAAACGCATGAACTATGAACCAATAGCTGAGGATCCCCCATGGAATGGAATCAGGCCCTCTGGATAAGTGAGACAATTGATTAGCTTGAACTATTTAGGAGGCTCCCAGACAGTGGGACCCAGACCTGTCCTTAGTGTGTGAGCTGGCTTTTTGGAACCTAGGGCCTATGCTGAGATACTTTGCTCAGCCTTGGTGTAGGGAGGGGGGGACTGGACCTGCCTCAACTGAATCTACCAGGCTGAGCTGAATCCCCAGGGGAGGCCTTGCCTTGGAGGAGGTGGGAATGGGGGGTAGATTGGGGGGAAAGACTGGGGGCTGGGAGAAGTGAGGACAGGGGAACTTGTGGCTGATATGTAAAATTAAATTAATTATAAAATAAAACAATAATATTTTTTTTAAAAAAAGAAGATGCATCATACTGATCAGTCTCCATCCTCTCTTTCTATACCCCTGTGAAATTTTTCATTAATTGTCAAGCTAATACCCATGTAGGTGAAAAAATAGCATGGGTACCCATTAAAATGAATTGTGTTAGTCAGAGTTCTACAGTGTATTAGAATAGGCTGTGTAAATATATATGAATAAGAGATTTTTGGGCTTTGAGATGCTTCAGTAGATAAAGTGCTGAGTGCACACACACACACACACACACACACACACACACACACACACTCCTAATAACCTGAGTTTTGTATCTAGGTCATAGTGAGAGGGGGAAAAAAGCATCTCTCAAATTTTGCTCATGTGTGCACTGTGAAACAAGCATATACATTTCACATCCATAATAGACATGAAGGAGGAGAAGAAGGAGAAGAAGAAGAAGGAGGAGAAGAAGACAGAGAAGAGGAAGAGAAAAAGGAGGAATTGGAGGAGGATAAGGTAGTAGTAGCAGTAGTTAGTAGTGGTTAAAAAGGAAAAAAATACAAATTAATAGATTTATTATATTGGGTAAAACAATGTAGGCTCATAGCCCAAGCATGTCTGTCTTCACAGTGGAGAACCAAAGAACACAGTAGCTGCTCTGTTCTTGAAGCTGGATGCCTTAGTAGTCCCCTTCTGATACTGAGGGCTTTAATGTTTCCTAGAGAAGAAGTAGAATTTAACTCACTTTGGAGATCCAAAGATACAGAATTCTGATGTTAGTAACATATGGCTACTCAGTGGTCAGGACAGAGACAGCAATAGGGTATATATACTCAGCATTAAGAAAAGATCAAAGTAGATAAAAAAAACAAACAAATAAACAAACAAAAACTCCACAGCCAGATTCAAGAGCAGGCAGGATAGCAGGCAAAAGACTTTTTCACAGCCCTCATGATATATGGAGCACCACGAGAAGGTGCTTCTAAGATGTTGGGTAAGTTTTTCCACTTCAGCTAACCTAATAAAGATAATCTCTAACAATCATGCCTAGATATCCATGTTATCTGTAAATATAGCACAGGTATACAGATCTTTGTCTAATTGCTTACTGCAGGTACTATCAAGTTGACAATCACTAGTAATCGACAATTCTCATAAAATCCAGCACAGAGGTCCAACCAGAAGAACTTAGTGGCTTTGTGACAGCAGAATCAGGTATCCATTGCTAAGGCTAATACAACCTGGGCCTACTCCCTGCCATCTGGTCTGTTTGACTATTTCAGAGGCAGTGAGTATGGGACAGATGTCACTCTCTTCTTTAGGAGCCAGGAGAGTTACCTGTCAGCAGTGTACAGAGTCACTTCCATGGTACTCCCTCTTTGGTGAAAAAGCACTTGCCCAGGTGATGGATCAGGGAGTCTTTGCCTCAACAGCTGCTTCTTTTGCTCAACCATAGATCTTTTTTCTTGTGATATGTTTCTAAGAAACCCCAATGATTCCCAGGCTGCAGAACAGGAATAATGAATACTGAATTGATTCTACTTCTCCTGCTGATAATTTAGAATGTATGACCAAGCCAAAGACATGAGTTTGAGATGCATGATACACAAATGTTGGCGTTATGAAGCTGTACAAAGATTTCTGCATCTTTGGTTGCTTGTAGACTGAGACCCACATGTAGACAGTGAGGCTGATGCCTGAATCAGGATGATGTTTCCAGTTTCTATTCAAGAGAGTGGAAAGTGAAAATATCATTTACAATACACAGTAGAGCCATGTATTGAGTAGCAGTGTGTTCTGTTATAGTGTTCAAGTTTGTCATTACTAGTAAATCCTTCCTGCTGACAAATTGTGGGACATAGCAGGATAAGGCAGAAAACTGGCCAAGTATGGAGGATCCGAAACTAAGAAAAAAGTACAGCTCATATAGTCTATGGGTATGAAAGTACTTCCATCTTCTGATAGAGTCTGAAATCCATGTGACACACATAATTAAGATCAAGAAGTTATGTGTACCAATGTGCATTCCTTATCTTGTACTTTAGTAAGCAGAGTTAAGGCTTTTAAATTTTACTCTAATTCCTTAAAAATGATTCAGATAAAAAATATCTTTTAATGTAGTGTAATGACTACAGCAAATAAACAAAATGTTCCCAAACAGGATATATACTATTTTTTAACCAATAGGAATTATTTCAGTGAGTTAAAGATTAATAATCCCTTCTCTGTTGTATATTTCCTGACAGCAGGATATTCTTCTATATTACCCACAATATAATTTTGAAATATATAATTCAAAATAGATCTTATATATAGTAGAAATATTCAAATAACCTTCAAAATATTATTTATAATTTTAAAAAAGAAATACATTTTTGAAGGTATATGTGTGGTCTGACCTCAGTCATCTAGGGACACAGGACTTGTGCTCAGTTACTGAGATGAGCAAGCCTTGCAGCTGTGCCCACCCTAACTGGTTCCTAGTGATTTGCATACACCCACTGCACAGCCTTGAGGACTTCTTCATATACCAGTCACACCCTGTACAGTTGTCACTGCAGTCAGGACTCAGCATGGACATGAGGGCCCCTGCTCAGCTCCTTGGGCTCCTGCTGCTCTGGTTACCAGGTAAAAAAGGGACTAAAATGGGAATTTCACTGTTATGCTGTGATTAGTGTTGACTGGCATTTGGGGGAGGTCCTTTCTTATCATGCCTAACCATTCGGGCATTTATTATGTCTCTACATCTTAGGTTCCAGATGTGACATCCAGATGACCCAGGCTCCATCCTCCCTGTCTGCATCTCTGGGAGACAGAGTCACCATCACTTGCCAGGCCAGTCAGGGTATAGGCTTTGCTTTAAACTGGTACCAACAAAAAACAGGGAAAGCTCCAAAGCTTCTGATTTATGGTGCAGATAGGTTGGCAGATGAAGTCCCATCGAGGTTCAGTGGCAGTGGGTATGGAACAGATTTTTCTCTCACCATCAGCAGCCTAGAGCCTGAAGATATTGCAACTTATTACTGTCTGCAAATTAATAATACCCCTCCCACAGTGATACATGTTATAACATAAACCTCACGGAAGCAGAAATGAGAGCCTGAGCTGCCCCAGCTGCTACTATTCCTGTGTCACCCACTGAAACCCTTTCTCAGATGTCACAGTGTTTTTCAAAGCTAGTGGAGAGTCATTTGTTTTTGTAGAACTTATGTTTTGTAGTTTTGTCAAACTAATGAGAGGCTAAACTATCATCCCTGTACCATAACAATCTTTCTTTCTCTTCATTTCCAGCAATTAAAAGTATCAATTTATTCTCTGTCTTAACAGGGGAAACAGACATTCTCTGTGAGGAGTCCGAGTTGGATAACCACATGGGACTCATATGGAATAGTGAAAACTTTTCAAAAAATAAAGAATCAAAGGCCATAACCTTTCCTCTTGACTGATTTAATTGAAAAATGTTATGTGTTAGCTATAATGAATAATATAGAAACTTAGCTATCCATAAGCCCCTAATATATTTTGCTATTTCTCAGCTTGCTAAACCAATGTTCCTCATCTCCAAAGGTATCATACAAAATGTGAAAAAGTGAGTGTCCACAAGTCTTCAGTCTTTAGAGGGGCAATGAGAGCACGAAAGAGGAATGTATACATTACCCATCCTGGGTTATTTCTTCATTGGTAGAAGCAGGCTAATCTGTGGCCAGGCACATATCTCTTCCTGGGACCCATTTTGGTGTAGTGGCACTCTGAGGAAAAACACAAGCATGCCTTCTCCCACAGGTTAGCAGGGGAGCTGATGGCTGCCATTGTAGGGAGATAGGATCTCTCTCTATCTCAGCAGGGGCAGGGATGTGTTCCTTGGCAGAGATGTCCCTTGCTTGTAGGCCAGGATAACCCTCTCGTCATCAAAATATAATGTCACATAAATGTTATTAGACATTCTCATTTTATCATTACAATGTGGTAGTGTCTGATGTTCAAATGTTTCAAATAACGTTTTGAGAAAATGATATTTTACAAAATAAAGGCACTATAGAAAATAATCAACCTGATTATCCTTCGCTTTACACCTAGTATCCATTCATGAATGAGTAGATACAGTGTCTGTCTTTCTGAGTCTAGATTACCTCACTCAGGCTGATACTTTCTAGTTCCACCCATTTGCCTGCAAATATCATGATGTCATTGTCTTTTAAAGCAGAATAATACTACAATAATACTACATTGTGTACATATACCACATTATCTTTTTCCATTCTTTGGTTGAGGGGCATCTAGGTTGTTTCTAGGTTCTAGCTACTACAAACAATGCTGCTATGAACATAGTTGAGCAAATGTCCTTGTGGTATATGCTCAAGAGTAGTATCCCTGAATCTAGAGCCTCCATCCAGTAACTGATAGAAGCAGATGAAGAGATCCACAACCAACCACCAGGCTGAGCTCTAGGAGCCCAGTCAAAGAGAGAGATGAGGAATTAGATGAGCAAGGAGAGTCAAAATCATGATGGGAAAATCTACAGAAACAACTGAACCAAGCTCATAGGAAATGACTAACTTCAGACTGACAGTGGAGAAACCTGCATGGGATCAGACTAGATCCTCTGCATATGTATTGGAGACAGTTGTGTAGCTAGGTGTCTTTGGGAGAAGTGTGATCAGGATCTATCCCTGGTGCATGAGCTGTCTTTCTGTATCCCATTACTTATGGTTGGACACCTTGATCAACCTTGATGCAGCAGGGAGGGGCTTGGTCCTGCCTTAACTGAATATATCAGGCTTTACCATCCTCCCATGGGAGGATTTACCTTTTTGGAGGAGGGGATGAAGGGTGGGTTGGTGGGAGATGCAGGGGGGATGCAGAGGCAGCTGGAGGAGGCATGCGAGGGGGATCTGTGTTTGGTATGTAAAATGAATAAAAAATTTTAAATAAAAAAGAAAGAAAGAAAGAAAGAAATTAACATCTCGGTTATAATTTTTCTTACAATTTATGTCTCCTTGGAGCATATTAGGTGTGTGAGATTCTTGGGTTTTTCAGAAGGGAGTACCATGAACTCCATCTTCAAACCAATACAAAGCTGAAATTAGCCCCTCATCACAGTCCTGACTCATCACCCCTGCCTTTGGTACCTATTTTAATCAAGATACAGAAAATAAAAATTACTGGCAAAGACCACAGTGACAGGTTTAAAAAATGGATTGTGCCCTTGCTATTTTAATATAAACAAAACACTTTTTAACTGTGATCATTTTTTTTTTGTAATTGTTCCACATACAGTTCAAGTAAGCATCTAAGGTACCTACAAAGAGAAATTACAGCTAATAACCCTGAGAGAAGTAGATTGTTTATAGGGTGAAAAAAATAGACTTATAGTTCTCAAAACACTACACAGAAAACAGTAGAAGAAATATTTCTAGTATAATGCATCTCATTCTCCATAGGCCATTTTTTAAAAAAAATTTAGTTCTTTGTTGTGTGTGTCTATGCATATGTGCACATGTATGCCATGCATGGTGCAAGTATACTCAGAGGACATATTGGGTAGTTGATCTTGTGAGTTCTGGGGATCAAACTTAGAAGGTAAGGCTTGGAGGTAAGCGCCTTTACCACTGTAGCCACCCAATGGCTCCATCTTAGGAAATTCTGAATACTTTGACTTATATGAGCAATCAGATATTTATTAGTAGTAGATTGTCTAAATTGTTATAAGAAATTTTATTATTTGTAGCTGAAGTTTTCCTGTGTCGGCGGCCTGCAGGTAGTCAGGACAAATCTCTCCCACTGGTGTCCCCCAAGTAAACACACAGAGGCTTATATTAATTAAACTGCTTGGCCATTAGCTCAGGTCTACCACTGACCAGTTCTTACATTCAAACTAACCCATAATTCTTATTTATGTTTAGCCATGTGGCTTGGTACCTTTTTCCAGTTCTGCCTTCACATTTTGCTTCTCGTGGTGGCGGCTGGAAGTGTCTCTTGACTCAGCCTTCCTGTTCCCACCACTCTCCCCTGTCTTTGTCCCGCCTATACTTCCTGCCTGGCTACCGGCCAATCAGCACTTTATTTATTAACCAATCAGAGCAACACATTCACAGCATACAAAGCGATATCCACAGCAATTATTTATATTCTTAAGGAAAAATTTACTCCCCTCTCACCTTTCCTTAAGAAGACCTTTAGTGCCAGGTAGTGGTGGTACATACCTTTAAGCCCAACACTTGGGAAGCAGAGACAGGAGGATCTCTGTGAGTTCAAGGCCAGCCTGGTCTACAGAGCTAATTCAAGATATTACAAAGAGAAACCCTGTCTTGAGAAACAAAAAAAAAAAAAAAAAAACAAGCAAGCAGAACTAACTATGTTTGTTTGTTTTTCTGTCTTTCTTGTTCTTATAGGATTTGATTACTCTAATTATCATTCAAAAGGTTACTTCAACTAGGTTAAATCCCTAATGTTGATAATCAAAACCCTTGAGAAATAGTACTAGTGATGTTAAGTTTAAATTTAGAATAGCAGTCTACCCATTCTACTCCCAAATTCTGACTAGAACACACACCTGCATGAAAGTTCAGTCCATGGTGTTATCTTGGCATGCATGGGCCTTGTAGATTGTGTCTCAATACATAAAAATATACATCTTTTCTCCCTTGAATCCATCTGCCCTTTGCCATAGGTTGCAGGGATCATATCTGTTTTCTACAAACACAGGAGACTCTTTATGCCATTTCGTTCTTTAGAGTGGGCTTTTCTCCCTTCATACTTTTCATACAGCTGTACAAAGTATGATATTTGCATATTGCTCCCTAGAGAGGACCTCTTGTTGGAAGTCTAGGACAAAAGCTAGCCACTCTTTCTGTTTGGTGATATTTTATGTGTGCACTCCAACAAAGCTTATCAGAGGAAAAAAACAACCACTATATTAAACATAGAGGTCAGGCAGTGGTCACACATACCTTTAATCCTAGCATTTGGGAGACAGAGATCCATCCAGATCTCTGTGAGTTCAAGGCCACACTGGGAACAGAGCCAGGCATGGTGGGACATGCCTTTAACCCCAGTGCTAGTCAACCATGAAGGTCTGGAGGTCTGTGCACAGAAACAGGAAGTAATAGAGCTGAGTGGAAAGAGGAGGTGGTGTACCTGGGTAGAGAGGGGAAATAAGATGGCAGGGCAGAGAAAGGTATATAGTTGTGAGTATACAGGAAGTATCTCTCTCTTGGGTTGAAGATTTCCTAGTGATAAGAACTTGTGCCGTGGCTTGTTCTATTCCTCTGATCTCTCAGTTTTCACCCCAATATCTGGCTCCAGGGTTTTTTTTATTATTAATAATACCATTTAGCAATTCGTTTTACATTTCTGCCTTGACTACTCAGAATTTTTCAAATCAAGTTCTCAGAATGAGGTGCCCTGCCCAGGTCCTGGGGCTGCATGTACTCTGGATTCCTGGTAAGGAGAGGAAATGATAAAGGAGGAGAATGTGAGTGGATGGGGATTTTGGGGGCCTTGCTGATATGGATGCAGTTTCTGTCCATGTGTGAGACTGCCAGATGTGTACTCACAGAATGAGCCTGTGAGGTTTAGAGTATGAAGGGAGGAGAACCTGTGATTTTGTGGCAACTCTGACAAGTACCAACGCAGGTAGTCCAGGTGATTTCTAGAGAGTTTTTATGCTCTTTCTACATAGGTGTTTTATTTTGAGCAATTTTAGATAATGAATGAAAGTCATGAAGATAATATTCAGGAAATAAATAAAAGAAAATTATTTTAAAGTATTACTATGTTACTTCCCTTCCATCTCTCTTATTTCAGGGGCCAATGGGGATATTGTGGTGAGCCAGGATTCATAATCCAATCCAATTACTCCTGGACAGTCAGCTTCTATCTACTGTAGTTCTCTGCATCATAATTCTCTATTGTCCTCCTATCTGTCAGTGCAATGGAATAGCCTTTCCTTTCTTGAAATCATTAAGTGTAATTTTTGCCACCCATGAGGAATTTGAGTTGCATCATGAGTCCATTCATACAAGAAAAAGCATTATACATATCAAAATCAGGGACAACAGGAGTCTATACTAAAG